TTTGATGATTTTATTTCTGTCTCAGTTACTACATGTTGAACTTCTTCTAATGCTTCCTGCATCACGTCTATATTTTTCTTAGGTATTTCACCTGTTTCATAGAATTTCAAGCGATCTTCTACTTGCTGACGTAATTTTTCACCAAAGATATTTGTTGGTGTTTCAGTAAAACAATCTATTCTTGATGCGATAGAGCATTTGTTAGCCAAGTATCTCGAAATTCTTCCTTTGTTTTTAGTGCCAGCACGACCAATAAATGTAGAATGGAACAATAATCCATATTTTGGTGTATTACCTCTTGTCTTTAATGCTCTAAATAATGCTTTTTCAGCACCTAATATCTGAACTGTAGATGCAGGATATTTGGCTAGATTGGTTAACGATCCAGCATGTGCTATTAACCTAGCTCCTACTTGATTTCCTATAAGAGTAGCCAGATTTGGTGCAATACCTTCCATTTTAGATTTTAAATATTCAGATAAATTCTTTCTATAATCCGCCAATCCTGTTACACGTTTAGCAAACATCTCAATATTAAGAAGGTCCACAGGATGGATATCCATACCCATACTAGACTTAGAAGCATCTATAATTGCTTGAGCCTTTGCCCTGTCCATAACAATTTGTTCCAATTCATCCAACCTCTCTTCAGTTAATTCACTTCTATTTTTAATTACTTGTGCTACTTTAGCAAACATATAATTTTCAGGAACAATTTTATCTAATTCCGGAAAATGATAACTGTACCATTCACTGAAACAGAGTAAACATATTATAACATAGATTTTTAAACAATATAAAATTTATCATATATTCTATCATACAAAGAATTTAATCTTACCGAATACGCATACTAAATGTATTAATGTCTTTGTCCAATTGATCCAATAAAGCTATACTTTGTATGATCATATTATCTACACGATTGACATTAAATTTTACTTTAGCTCTTGAATAACTATGACCAAGTCCGAGTTGAGCTACTGCAGAACTTTTGGAAGTAAAACCTTTAATTAGATTATGAAAATGGAATCGTATTCCTCGAATGATTTCAGGTATAGCACCTGTGTGATCACATTTTATGCCCAATGCTTCTGTTATACTGGCACCTAATTTTGGATCCGACACACCAAGAATAATTTTATTTTTCTTATCAGATTTGGGCACAATTGAATCTAAAAACAATTGTAAATATTCGGGTACGATGCCTTCAGAGATACTGTTTACATTTTCTAGTGCTGCTAAAGCAGTTTTAAAAGGTAAAAATCCAACAAGTTTCACGACAGATCTAAATCGTGATACATCTGTTACTGATGCTTCAACTTGAGGTAATAACATTCCTACTTCTTCAAATTCTTTTATACTGAACACGGCATAACCTGCAGCATGCTCATATAAAACGTAAGTTTGTGCCTGAAAAAATACACATTTAAGTTAAAAATAATAAATAATGATTTAAATTTTCTTCTTATTATTATTATTATTATTTTATTAGTAATTAACAAAAGGATTGTTTATTTCCTTAAAATTGATTTTAAAAAAATAACCTATATATCACTTAATATATTATATTTTTATATGTAAATTTATATTATTATTATTAGTAAATAAGAATAATTAATTTACCATGTTTTGATTTTTTTAATATTTCATTCACTTTACACAGAAATATTTAATTTACAATTAGCCATTCATTATTCTAATAACTAAACACGTGTACACGCGGCTAATTAACTCGTGGAAATGTTGCTAGCATAAAACATCTTGTAGATGGCAGGTCAATCGCCAGGAAGTTATCTATCGACGTTAATATCGATTGATAATCCTATCGATTGTACGATCGAGTGATCGATTAAAAATTTATTTTGATGTGATTTAAATGTTAACAAGGTGAAACGTTTAATCTTTTGTTTAATGTTTGATACACATATTTTCTGTTTTTGATTGTTTTTTAATTTTCGTGAAATCTATTTTTAATATAACACAGGATTTTTTTCATATGGGAACCCAATTAAACGAATCCTACATTATGACACGTAATAAATTTAAAATTCGTAAGATAATTACTGTCACGGAAAATTTATTTAACGAATCAAAAATAAATCCTGTCAAATCTGATCCGGATGCATCGTTGGAAGTAGGAAAAAACGAGGAATTAAATCTCGGGTAAAGTTTTGTTTTAATATTAAGTTTAAAAAAAATATATCATTTCTTTGTAATTAATTTTCCTAATATGTCATATTAATGTTTTAAAAATATCTTTAATTTTTATAGTGTAAAAAAATATCATTCAACTGTTCTTCGTCGGCGCAGGAAGTTAAGAAAAATCAAGGAATCAAATCTAGGGTAAATTTTTGTTTTTGTTTTAACGTGATATTTACTAAGAATATTATTTTATTCCCTTATAATTAATTTAAAATATGTCCCTCTTAATTATGAAAGTAGTTAAGTAAAAATTAAAAAATATATTAGTTTATCAGTTATTTCAAATCACATTATTTTTAATTAAATAAATTCAATGTAATTTTGCCATAGAGATATTATAAAGTAGGAGAACCATAGGCTCCTATGTAAGTGGAAATGTCTCTGCATAAACTCATCGAAAGGTTAATGTTGTCTCTCTCTAACTCATGCGGTACCGGTGCATGCGCATTAGACTTGTCTGCCACCTCTACTAGCAGATTAATGCGCATGCGCCGCTCAGCGCAAGTTAGAGAGAGACAACATCAACCTCTCATGTACTATCTCTTTTTTTTTCGCCGACAGATTTTATGCTGGCTCGCCTTCTGTATATGAAGTATCTCTATGAATTTTGCACGATATTATCAAAAATGAATCGTTAGATAATATTTGTTATTTCAATATTATATATAATTCATATAGTGTACAAATATAATTCTTTAAATATCGAATGATTTGTCTTCGAATTATAATTGCAACAAATTCTGGAAAATGTAGTTTCGAGAAAAACGCGTTTAATGTTTTGGTTGCTGATTTGATTAGTTATAAATGAAGAAATATTAAATGGCGCTAATTCAAAAACTATTTGTGATATGCACTTGAAATTTGAGTATGTTATTTTTGAAAGTAAAGATTATCGAAATATGCAAAAAAAAACTTCGATTTTTTTTTTAATTTTACACTAGTGGTGCTCCTTAAAAATTAATATTTTAAAAATATCTTTTAAAGATTAATTTGAATTTTTCTAGTGTAAGAAAATGTCAATCCACTGTTGTTCGTCGGCGCAGAAGAGTGGGAAGAACAAAGGAATCAAATCTTTGGTAAATTTTGGATTTAATGTTAATTATACAAATAATATTATATTATTTATTATTAATTAATATCACATATATATATTAAGTTAATGTACTAAAAATATCTTTAATGTTTACAGTGTAAGAAAATGTCATTCTACTGTCGTTGTTCCTCGGCGTAAAATATTGAAAAAAAGTAACAACAATGAGGCATTAAAAATACCAAAAATACCTGCAAAAATTCTTCGAATAATAAATATTTTACGGCACGAAGAATTTTTGGATATGGTTTCACGTTATCTTCAATCATCGATTGTAAAACAATTGAAAAAAATGAAATATTCGGAAACCATATCGCCAATAAATTCTACAATTTCTAAAGCGAATATGTAAGAAAATGTTTTACGAGAAGATAATACACACACACACATATATATATATATTATAACATTTTATACATACATAATAAATACGTGTTAATTTATTCATCGTGTATATTGAAAAAATATAAATCTGTATAACACGTTACTTATTTTCAAAATCTGTCATATCTATCAATAAGCGTAGGCGTAATATATTTTTCAATATATCAAATTAAAATTCTATATATTCGGATTGTTCGAAAAGTAATTTCGTTTTTTTCCCCGACAGAGGATTTAATTGTATTTTTTCGAACGAAACTTCACACTTAAGCTGTATAATCATTATATGTTTTGAGAGCTGATATAACAAGGCTTGTGTGTGAAAAAGTTCAATTAATTCTACGCAGTAGTTTTTGATTGGTGCCCTTTTAAATATGGAGAGCAATAAGAAACATTTTCGTCATATTTGACTTTTTTTTACTATAGAAAAGGTAAAAATGCTGTTCAAGCTAGAAAGAAATTAACCGATGTGTGTTGACAGTACGCCAGTGCCAAAACTGGTTTTGCAAAATTTCGATCCGGCAATTTTGATGTTGAAGATGCACCATGTTCTGGAAGGCCGGTTGAAACTGATAAAGACACGATAAAGGCATTAGTTGATGCAAATTGGCGAATAACAACACGTGAGATCGGTGAGAGGTTAAATTTATCGAATTCAACTGTTTATGACCACTGGAAAGGCCTGGGTTTAACCTCGAAGCTCGATATATGGATTCCCCATGTTCTCACGGAGAGAAATTTGTGTCGTCGCGTTGACGTCTGTGATTAGCTTCTCAAACGTCACGAAAATGATCCATTTTTGAAGCGGATCATTACTGGGGACGAAAAATGGGTTGTATATAACAATGTCAAACGCAAGAGATCATGGAGTAAAAACGATGAATCGGCTCAAAACATTTCGAAAGCCAATATCCATCAAAAAAAGGTGATACTGTCTGTTTGGTGGGATTTTAAAGGAATCGTTTTTTTCGAGCTTTTATCAGGTAACACAATAATTAATTCGGAAGTCTACTGTCATCAGCTGGACAAACTGAATGATGTATGCACTTCAACAAAAAAGGCCAGAATTAATCAACAGAAAAGGTGTAGTGTTCCATCAAGATAATGCGAGACCTCATACAAGTTTGGTCATTCGCCAAAAGCTTTTACAGCTTGAATGGGATACACTGCCACAATCACCATATTCTCCAGATCTGGCACCTTCGAATTATTATTAGTTTCGGTCATTGCAAAATTTTTTGAACGGTAAAACCTTCATTTCAAATGAAGAGGTCAAAAATCACCTGGATCCGTTTTTTTGCCAGCAAAGACCAAAAATTTTATGAGCGTGGAATCATGCTACTACCAGAAAGATGGTAAAAGGTGTTGGACCAGAATGGCCAATATATAATTGAATAAAATATTTATTCATTATACGAAAATTGTCTTTCATTTCCCCCTCCCCAAAAAAAACGAAATTACTTTCCGAACAATCTAATATATATATATATAAATAAATTTTCATATTTTAAATGTTAATTTAAAGTTTACTTTCGTCGTCGTAAATGACAGTAGGATTTGTCGCTGCCCATTTTTCTTTGAACGGTAGTTCTTCTTTTTTTGGTCGATCTTTTAAATTTTGAATTCCAGCGTAATGTTCTTCAATTTCTCTTAACGTTCTACCTTCAGTTTCTGGTAGTATATAATAGAGTATAATTCCACCAATACAATTTATCAAAGCATAAAACAATAACGTCCCCGATAAAGTCATACCAGACTTCATATACAGAAAAGTTTTGTTTGCGATTGACATAAAAATGTATCCCATTGATCCAACTGCACCAGTTGCGCTACTTCGTACCTGTAAAAATTAATGTTAATACAATTAAAGTATACGCATTACAATATCTTAAAAATATAAATATTGTTAGATTCCATTATAAAAATTGTATGATTATCGTAAATTAATCTCAAATGTACAAATAATTTTCCTACTATATTATTTTTCTGACCAGGACAAAAATATATACAGTAAAACCTGTTTTTGTACGCCCCTTTTATATGCGATTCTATTTTTGTACGGATTTGTTATTATGCAGTATATGAATCTCAGCTACGTTGGAATCAGTTTAATGTTTCCTATCAGTGTTTATATACATGTGTGAACAAATCGTGACTACTTAAACTCCTTGACGATAATGGAGCCTTATACAACTACAAATATATTTTTGTCTCTTTAACACGTTGAGTGCCACGTGAATTTCAACAGAAATCTTCGTCAGGCCAAGCGTAGCAAAACGAAATGTTCATCGTCAGGCAACGGTGCTTGACATGGCCTAAATGTGAAGTTCAGTGTCAGCCATTGATGACTGACGTGACACTCAACCTGTTAAATCGTTGATACATTAATTCATGATAATAATAAACTTTAATAACAACGTTATCTAATGTGGTAAATCATGTTGACACATTGATAAAGTTTGACTTAATGATCATTGTACAAACTTAGACCAAGGTCTAACACATGGGCTGAAAAGTCCCGGGCTTAACAAAGAAAACACAGCTTTTTTTCGTTCAAAATTGGCTTCATTCATCAATATAATCTCCATCAAAAGCAACACAATCATTCCAACGCCACTCTAACATTTCAATATCACTTTTGTAGAATGATTTAACTTTTGGCTCAAAATAGGTCTCAGTTTCAGCGATAACCTCTTCATTTGAGCGAAATTTCTCACTAGAGAGTATTTTTTTGAGGTCTACGAACAACCAGTAGTCACTGGGAGCCAAATCTGGAGAAAACGGTGGATGCTGGAGCAATTCGCATTGTTTTGATTGACTTGTGACACGGTGCGTTGTCTTGATGAAACAAAATTTGTTTCTTTGCCATATGCGATCGTTTTTTTTTGCAATTTCGGCCTTCAAACGCTCCAATAACGCTATATAATATTTACTGTTAATGGTATTTCCCTTCTCAAGATAATAGATGAATAAAAATACCACGCACATCCCAAAATACCAAGACCATAACCTTTCCAGTTGATTATTGTGCTTTCGGGCACTTTGGACGAGGTTTACCAGTTGCTGTCCACTCAGATGACGATCGTTTTGATTCCAGAGTGAAATGATGAATCCATGTTTCATCCATTGTCACATATCGACGCAAAAATTCCGATTTGTTACGTTTAAACATGGCCAAACATTGCTCAGAATCATCAACACGTTGTTGTTTTTGGTCAACAGTGAGCAAACGTGGCATCCACTTTGAACAGAGCTTTCTCATGGACAAATGCTCATGCAATATAAAGCCAACACGTTCTTTTGATATCTTTACGATGTCAACTAACTCACACCAACTTCATTTTCTGATCATTTAAAATGATTTTGTGGATTTTTTTGATGTTTTCTGGTGTTACTGCCTTTTTTGGACGTCCACTGCGTTTTGCATCATCGGTGTCTCTACGACCACGTTTGAAGTCAACAAACCAACGTTTTATTGTTGTTTCTGATGGAACGGAGTCCCCATAACACTTGAACGGTATTTTTTCCCATCAAGAAGCAGTGTAAAATTAAAACACGAAATTGTTTTTGATCCATTGTTTTGAAAATAACAAAAGTAGCATCACTCTAAGCACAATAACTCACAAACGAATGAATAGAATGTCATGAAATTTTAACAGCTGTATTTTGAAGGTTAGTACTAACTGAAAATAAGGTGAATGCAATAAAACTAGCACCTACTATGTGTGAGGCCCAGGACTTTCCAGCCCATGTGTTATATGATTCCAGTTATTTCTATATCTTTCAAAATATTTGATATTATAACATGTTTATTTTTATAAATATCATAATATTTTATCTGTCCCAAGTTTCAGATAAAGGGACAGAACCCTCGTTCGAGGGTGAGGCTAGCAACCTACCCTCAGTAAACAAAACATGCTTCCAAAATTAACAAAATAGTCTTTTTTAGGCTGTTTAGTTAGAGATAAAAGGACAAGAAGAGATAATATTTTATCCTATAAAAACAAAAGGATAAAAAGATTAAAATGTACCAACCTTAACAGGAAATACTTCACCAGCTAGAATCCAAGGTAATAACCTGATACCAGTATGTGAAAGAAATGCAGCACCTATTATCAAAGTCATTGGTATCCAAGAATAATGTTCAACAAAGATTATCTTATTATCATTTAGGTATCCATAGATAGCAGCAAGAAGCAAACATAATCCTATTCCAATTAATGAGAAGAAAGTTAAAAGACGTTTGCCAGTAAAATGAATCGTTGATACACAGATCACAGTGCCAATTAATTCAGCAATCCCAAGAAATACAGCAGCTGTATATTTGTCAATAGGTGCACTCATTTCTTCAAAAATGACAACGGCAAATGTCTGAAGAATCGAAGTACCACCAAATGCACCAATGAAAAAAGCTATTGTTACCAATATGAAAGGTACATAGCATGTTCTTTTTTTGTAATATTTCCAAAATTGTTCTTTTTCTTCTGAAGTTGCATCAACAGGTTTCCTGACAATGTCATTGAACTCTGTTTTCACGTGGATTGGATTGACCCATCCTCGGAGCCAGCACAACGCACTTTCAGCTTCTTCGGTACGACCCTTTGCTAAATTCATTCATTTGATTTACAAAATATTGAATTAATTTTGATCTTATCTTTTGTTTAGATTAAATAACAAGATTTATTATTGTTACCGGCTAGCCAATGAGGACTTTCAGGAACACAGAAAAGTGCGGTGAAACATATGAGTGGATAAGCCAAGTTGACCATTGCTACAGTTCTCCAATTGGCTAAACTACCACCAAGCATTTGTGAGAAAACTCCTAAAATGACTGACATGCTCGATGTAGCTGATAACATTCCTCGTAGACGTGGCTGAGTGACTTCAGCAACGTATGTCATTACTGGGGCTTCAATTAATCCACCAGTGAGTCCTGTTAATGCTAAAGCTATGAATAGCATTGTGGTATTGTAAGAATAATGAAAGATTAACCAGGCCATTATGAATGGAATGTTTGCGAGCATCATCGTACGTTTTCTACCAAAATATTGGGATATTGGACCACTTACAAAACAACCCAATGGCACCAGAAATAAATTCAGACTACCTGTAATTAAAAGGACATTAGAAAAAATGGAAAATATTCATCATGAATTTAATTAACATTAAAAATGACAAAATACAATAATAATGTTGTATGTAAAATAAACTTACTGATCCATGTAATTTCTTCAATGGTCGTTGGAATGTCCGAATTTTTGCTTTGTAATTCTGGTATCAAAATTGTAGAAAAACCCAATGTAGAACCAAACGTGATCAAAACCAAATTTTTGGCACCGACAGCACAACATTGCGGTAATGCCTCACGATATTTTGAAATTGCCGCTGTATTAGCTGTATTATCATGATTGTTTGATTCTATCTGCTTCATTTTTTCGCCATTGCTGTAAATTCGTTCAAAATGATATCACGTGAAATTGATGTAATTACAAGAAATACAATTATTACGTGAATAATTACGTACATTGTTTGATAAACTATGAAATATTAGAATGTTTGAAAGTAAGCAATTTTCTCTTTAACTGTATATATATATATGTATAATCGTTTACTGTTAAATAAATGACAGTTATCATCGGTCATCACACTTATAATACAACCAATTCAACTTACTTCTACTGATACTTATAAAAAGAACAACAGCAATGAAATAAATATCCTTTCAAAATCTTACTATTTTTTTTTAATGATCATCTTTGCTATTGTTTGCATGTAAAAATAAAAAAAGAAACGAAAACAAACAAAAATGTATCAAGGAAAGAAAATACACGTAGTAGTAGATCTAAATTGACGTTCTTGAAAATAAGAAAATCATGATCGGCACCTGTTTGAGTTAGCTTTGAAAGTATTACACCACACGTTTGATTGTGTAAAATGTTCAAACAGTATTAGTGTTCATTCGGATTATATAAACGTGACAGAGAGAGACAGAGAGAGAAGATACACGTGTGTAAAACCTTTCACATTAAACTATGTCAATGACGAATTGAGACAGAAATGTATTTACATTTTATACTAAAGGAAAATAAAATAAAAATGTTACGAGTTAGGATAAATGAAACGATAGAAAAATTTCAATTCTTCTTTTTTGTTTGTTTGTTTGTTAAATAAATTGTTTCGTTGGATACAATTGGTCCAGGTCATTAAACTTTTTCAATTGAATCCATTTCATCTAGTGGTCCACTCTTTAAACATGGGTGGAGTTCATTTACGTAATATGTCGTTACCGTTATAAAAAAAACAAAAATAAAATAAAAATGTTTGATCACAGAAAATAGGAGATAATACAATTTAACAATGATATTTGATTGCAAAATATATTTTTTTTTGAAAATAAACATTGTTTAAATAACGAGAATTTTATGATCATTGCGCGGCAATTTTTGTTTTTGTTTTTTTCTGAGAAAGAAAAATGCGAATTTTGTATTTTTTTTTCTTTTTTTTTTTTTATTTGAAAATAATTAAATTTTCTTTTTACATTAGTGCTTTTAAATACAGTGATAATAAATGACGATGTTGTTAAAAAAAAAAAAAAAGAACAAGCAACTCATCGATATTTGTTCTCACCAATTTTCTTTAATTATCGTATTGGTTAATATTCTTATTCTTTCCTTCTTTTTTTTTTTTTTTTTATTCTTGTGGGTAATCCCAGTAAGGAAAGAAAGAAGCAACATTGTAAATATAATAATCAATATTTAATTGAATAATTCGTATAAAAAATTGATCAATTGTATGATTGATTGGATTCATTCACAATAAATCGATTAATCATTAGTAATAAATGAAAATTGATTAATTAATTAAATAAGGAAACAATCAAAAAGAAAAACAATTCATTCATTGAAATAATTGTTGTCATTTAAATTATTCATTTAAATTGATATTATTTCTCATATGTATGTATAATAAATATTTTTTTTTTTGCAAATAATATTTTTACGAAATCGTATTTATAATTTATTAACATGAAATTGAATAATAATAGACGATAACGGTTATAATTAAATTTCTAACCTGTTAACCGGGGAATTCCTTTTTTAATTACGCAACTTTTTTTTTATTATTAACTTAAATTATTTATTTTTTTATTAATATTTATTATTTTCTATTATTTTATTTTCTATTTTATTATATTATATATTATATATTTTTTAATTATTAGGTAATTATGTTTAAACATAAAATTCATTTGATTTTTCGAAAGTTTTCTGATTTCCGATGATCTGTAATAAATTTCATTGAATATTTGTATTTTAAATTGTGTCGCGGTTTTATTTGAATTGAGATAAAGATTATCATTTCAAAATATTAAATATTTAAAGACATATTTTATATTAAATAATCGATTTTTTTACTTTAAGTGACAATTTACAAATTTTAAGTATTTTTATTTTTTTTTATAATTGTCAAATTCATGACGTTCAATTTATTATCTTCAGTATTGGGATCTATAGCACTTGAATACGCTATCTGGTGGCTAAATTCAAAATTAGATTAGATAGGTCGAATTGCTACGCCACGCCCCTGCCAGAAATCCCAATAATAGCTAGCGGATAGTATAATAATTATTAATACAATCATAATCAAAAAATATGTTATTATTTGTCCAATTTTTTGTAGGAAATTAACTGTTCTATAAAAATGGTGTCTTATGTTTTGGCGATTAAATTAACCGTTCAAAAGATATTCATCATTGAAGCGTTCAAAAGACATTCATCTTGACAGTATGTCTGATTTTTATTGTCACTATGATTGTTATACTGACATTTATTATTATTTTTTAAAACTGAATCAAATCTATTATTTACAAAGAAAATACATTCACATTGTGCTCGATTACTTGGTCGAGTTTTAATAATTAAATAATAATTGTTTATTGTGTATTTATTTTGTATTACCACATGACTACTATGACATTTTAAATATTAAATAGACCAGAAAGTAATGTAGCTTTCTAACCTTAAATTGAAACGAATTAATTTCTAACAAATTTATATTTTTAATCAATAACATAATTAACCTCATTATCAACAACCTTTCTTTATCTAGTATGCAAATTTTTAATATCAATTTGATTAAAAATCAATCGATTTTTGATCAAAAATATACACAATTTGACATTTGTTGAAACGACATTACTTTCTGGTCCACCTAATATATAGATATATATAGTTTATTTCTATTTTGTACTAATATATATATTGTTTTTTTTTTGGTTTAGAAAAACTAATGGTTTTGCTGAGAGATGGTAGAACATTAATTGGATACCTAAGAAGTGTTGATCAATTTGCTAACATAGTACTTCATCAAACCATTGAAAGAATTCACGTTGGTAAAGAATATGGTGATATTCCAAGAGACATATTTATTGTCAGAGGAGAGAACGTCGTACTATTAGGAGAAATAGTAAGTGTGATTATTAGGGTGGATCAAAAAAATCAATTCAGAGACAGAAATCAGTACACATGAAAGTTTGATGATGAATATCTTTTGAACGCTTAATTTAATCGCCAAAACATAAGACACCATTTTTATAGAGCAGTTAATTTCCTACCAAAAATTTATATTGCGCATTTTATAATAGTCATTTATTGTCGAGTTATAAAATTTATCAACAAAAAATGAAATTTGTCTGAAAATAATCAAACTTAAATCTTCAATATCATTCAAATGGTGAGGTTTATGGAAAAAATATAAGATACCTTTTTTGTAGAGCATTAAATTTCCTACAAAATTCGTCTAGAACATTTTTCTCTACAATCAATAAATAATGAGGTATGAATTTTATTCTATTGGACTGAGAAAAAAAGTGAAAAACTGCGATGCGGAGGATCTTCCTATTAAAATGAAGAGCTCATATTTGGTGAGAATTTTTTTTAAGGTGTCTACCAACCCATTTTTCTCCGTGGCACTTGTAAAACAAAAAATAAATAATTCGATTTTTTTTCACCCATCCTAATGTGCATACTTTACAAACGCAATTTGATACTATTGTTATATTTTATGTCAACTCACCAATACTGTATTTTTGTATTATCTTCATTTTTTTTTTTGGTTAATACAAAATTATAATAAATGTTTAATTATTATTATATTTAAAATTAATAATTTGACTTTTATAAACAAAATGAAACAATATTATATTTCAAAGAGTAAAACAAATGAAACATTTAAATCGATTTAAATGAATCCAATGTATTTATAAAATCAAATGTAAATTGAATGTAAATGAAATGTAAATGAAATGTTGACTAGACAACATTTAGAAAAAAAAAAAAAAAGAAGAATATTTATACAATACGTCAAGGTTTTTCTTACTGCATTGCTGCTGATATCGTTATGGTCAGTAACCTGACCCTGAATAAGTATTTAATTACACTTCCTCGTTTATATTTACGTGTTTTATTATATATTTATTCAATTTTGTACATTTTGTGATACTCTTTCAAAAAAAAAAAAAAAAAAAAAGAAGAAAAATAAAAGACAAAAGAAAAACGTAAGAAAAAAATATGAATCATACGAAATAGATTTTATTTGTATGCATTACTAAAAAAAAAAGTTTTCATTGATTTTTATAATTAATAATTTGAAAATTGATATTTTGTAATTAATATTTATTATATTACGTTTATAATTAATATTTTATGATATTTATTATTAATAATAAATATAGATTTATAAATTAATATTTGTTACATTATGTTTATTACTTATTATGTTACATTATTATTTTATTATATTTATTAATATTAATAAATGTTAATTTATTAATTAATATTTGTTATAGTATGTTTATAATTATTATTTTGTTGTTTTTATTATTATTATTAATATTTATTAATTAATATTTGTTACATTATGTTTACATTTATAATTTTTATTTTATTATATTTATTACTATTTTAATAAAATATCAGTTTATTAATTAATATTTGTTATATTATGTTTATAATTAATATTTGTCATATTATATTTATAATTGTTATTTTATTATATATTTATTATTATAAATATTAATTAATTAGGTTATATTTGTGTTATATTATATTTATATAATTTTAATATTTTATATTATATTTATTATTATTAATATTTATTAATTAATATTTTAGTATAATAAATTAATATAGCTAATCTTTTATTATATTTATTATTATTATTATAAATATTTAGTATATAATATTTATTATATTACATTTATGATCATTAATAAATATTAATTTATTAGGTTTAATTTGTGTTAGATTATATTTATAATTTTAATATTTTATATTATATTTATTATCATTAATATTTATTATATATAATCAATATTTATTAATATTATAATTATAAGTATTATTCTATAATATTTATTAAAAAAGAAAAAAGTATTAACATTTAATAATTTATATTTATTATATTATATTTATAACTATAATAATATTTTATTTTATTTAGTATGATTAATCAATATTGTAATTTATTATATTAATATTTGTTATATTATATTTATTACTAATATTTATTAATTAATATTTATAATCTATCCTATTTATTATTAATATTACATTATATTTGTAATTTTTTAATATGTTATTATATTTATCATTATTAATATTCATTAATATAATATTTGTTATATTATAGTTAACATTTTAATATTATATTATATTTATTAATTAATATTTATTTTATTATAGTTACAATTTTAATATTTTATTATATTTATTATTATTAATATTTATTATATTATATTTTATTTATATATTAGAATTTCAATTTTATCTTCACAATACATATATATATATATATATATATATATAGATATTTATATAATAATAATAATCTTATCTTAATATTTTTCATTCATTTTTTTTTTGTCTATAACAATAAGTCTTCCTATAATAAAAAGCTTATAAGAAGAATTACAACAAATGATAAATGAACAGTTGTTACTCATATTTGTAATTAATTACATTTCGATTGTTCCAATTGAAAAATCAAACTAATGCGTTTATACAGCAGACATTTATTAATAAATCTCATTTATCGTTCTGTTAAATAAACAGTTGTTTGTACGTTTGTTGCGACAAGGAAATGAAATATTTGTAAAGCAATAAAACAGACCTTTAGATCAAATGAAAAAAAAAAAAAAAAACAAAAAAAAAAATAAGGTCAAAATAAAATGAATGAAATATAATACGTCGTAGAAAAGTGACGAAAATTGTATATAAAGAAATCTTTCAATTGGATATAAAATGCGCAGATTTTTTTTAGATAAAATGTGATTCATATAAATTTTATTACTTTCGACACATTAGACACTTTCAAAAAGTGTCATTATATCTAATTAACATTTTTTTACTTTTATCAAACTTTATCAGTAAACATTAATCTATGTTAATGTGAACTAACAATAACTTTAATCCAATCGTAATTAAAAATGATAAAAATGTTTTACGACTTAAGGACTACTTACTTAAATACTCAAAAGCTGATTATTGAATTATTATTATTAAAAGTTATCTTAACACGTTCGTCGTCATGTCACCGTATAGAGGAGACAGGCATGCTTCCTCGTGGGCCCCGTCACCGTATACGGTGACGCTCTTTTTGTCAAAGTTATAGGATTTTTAACACGTTCGTCGCCATGTTACCGTATAGAGGAGATGGGTATGCTTCCCCGTGGGCCCCGTCACCGTATACGGTGACGCTCTTCTTGTTGAAGTTATAGGATTTTTAGTTGGATTTTTAACACGTTCGTCGCCATGTCACTGCATAGAAGAGACGGGTATGCTTTCCCATAGGCTCCGTCACCGTATACGGTGACGCTATTTTTGTCAAAGTTATAGGATTTTTAACACGTTCGTCGCCATGTTACCGTATAGAGCAGACGGGTATGCTTTCCCATAGGCCCCGTCACCGTATACGGTGACGCTTAACTTGTCGAAGTTATAGGATTTTTAATTGGATTTTTAACACGTTCGTCGCCATGTCACCGCATAGAGGAGACGGGTATGCTTTCCCATAGGCTCCGTCACTGTATACGGTGACGCTCTTCTTG